TAGTCACTTTTTTTTTCTTTTGAAAACTTTTTCTTTCTTTTTTATTCTCAGGTATTTAGAAATTATCTCGAGGACAATGATAGGTTCTCACACACTGCATCAATGAATTCTAAGGTGACAAAATAATGATTAGAAACATAAATTTGCGCCATGTATTATTCATCGGATACGAAAAAATTCTGCTAAATAGGGTAAATAAAGGATCCAGAAATTTTCTGAGGAATTCCATGCACCATTCCAGTTTTATACATCCTAATGCAACAATTAGAATAGTTGTTGGAAACCGTTAAAGGAGGAAAATTACGAAAGTCATGATTTTAGATGTCATTTAAATCTTTCAGTAGCGTAAGTTATTAATCTAAAAAAATCTAGAAAATCCAAAAATTGATCTAATGGTGCTTCCTGCAATAGCTGATACCACACCCTGATGAGGACCTACAAAGTGGGCCGAAACGTCGGCGTAACGAATAAAATACTATTTTAACAATTTAGTATTTATTTGACTTCACCCTCCCTTCGTGTGGTCTCCAAAACATCTTTGAGAAATAATATATAAAGATGAACGTGTAAAATAAATCACCTCCAAGTCAAGGCGATGATAAAGAAACAGATGTTACTAACTAAGTATTGAATCGAAGAGGAATAGCTTTTGACAGTGGATTAATTGTTTTGATATTAATGATAAAAAGATTCTCAGTCTGCCTATGGTACAAGTATTTGATTTGATTTTCTTTTTTTTTTTCATTTTGAGAATGCACCTACGTGAAGGAAATTAACTACAATTTATACAATAGAGTGTATGCATTAGGATAATAATACCATTGATTCAACTAAACATACCGAGTCTTAAGACATCCTTTCATCCCAGCTTCAACTGCCTAGCAAAAATTCCATATTGTACAATGGTATGTAATCTGTCTGTATTTTTTTTTTCTTAGATATAGGGGTAATCTTTTAATTTAATTTCAAAACATGGTTTAATTTTAATATTTAAAAAAAAATGTGTATTTATTGTTTTATGTGTTTTATATTTGTATATTGTTGACAATTTTAAATTTTATATTAATTTGATAATTGGAACTATTTTAACTGTTTGATCTTTACCGAATATGATTTTTAATTTATGCTTAGGAGTGTTGTAATATCTGTTATGTAGTATAAAAAGGAATTTGTATTTCCATAAGGATAATAATGTTTGTTATTTTGTGATAGGCTCCATTTGTATTGGGTTCTTCCCTGAAAACAAATAAAGATTCATTGATTGATTGATAATAAGGCTTAGCGAACCTGAAAGTGCGATGCCGATACCACCAATATATTATATATATATATATATATATATATATATATATATATATATATATATATATATATATATATATATATAAGTCACCTAAAATTCATTGATACTTATCTATATACAATATTAACATTCGTCCAAGGGACTCCGTTAGTGTTCGTAAGCATAAAAAATAATAATCTAGTAAAAATATGTAAACATGTCTCAATAAAAACGAACGAATGTTGTCTATCGTGATCAGTCAGAGTAATTTACAAAATATACAAAATAAAGACAATCCTTTTAAAATTGTGATATCATTCGCTATAAAATATTAATAGAACAATATGATAAAGATATACAAGGAATATAAATTACATTAATGATTGTTAAATAATGATTACTTACGAAATGTTGGAAATGACTTTCCTAGTTAGGATGAAACGGGAAACATACCTGAAAAAATAGTATCACATTATTATAATTATTGAAGAAAAATAAATAAATATTAAAAAATTACTTAATTTACACAATGTGAATTTACAGAAAAGCTTCAAAACGAATCATAGTAGTATCAATATATTAATTTATAAATAGTATTAATCACAAAGATTTTTTTTTTTAAATAAAAGAACTAATTTGGTTTCTTTGATGAAGAAGTAGTGTTGTGTATTCCTCTGTTTACTACTAGATAGTCACAAAATAAAGTTTTTTATTCAACAAGAGTATAAAAAAAAATTAAATTCTTTAAATAAAGACCGACTGCAAAACTAAAACAAAGCGTATATTTGTTTAGTTAAAGATGTTCATTATAATTTTAATTTGTTTAGATAAAACTTTTCATTTTATAAAACTAACATAAATATTTACAATATGAATATAAATTAATTAGTACGGAATAAGAATGAACAGTTTTTTTTTTTTGTAACATAATCAAGTGCTAGCAAGGTGCATAAATAATTATATCTATTGAGTATATACCTTGGGCCTCCGTGAGTTTTTGTGCGTCATTCGTCTCTTATACTAATTAATATTTAACTATACAGCTTACATCACTAGGTATAATTTGTATATGTATGCTTAAAACAAATCAAAATATCTGTAGTGAAATATAACTAAATTCATTATCACTGCCTAGCCTAAATGCGGACATTAATGTCAAAAAGATTCTCAGTCTGCCTATGGTACAAGTATTTGATTTGATTTTCTTTTTTATTTATTTTTTTTTTTTTATTTTGAGAATACACCTACGTGAAGGAAACAGTTAATAACTACAATTTATACAATAGAGTGTATGCATTGGGATAATAATACCATTGATAAAACAACTAAAATATACTTATACTAAACATACCGAGTCTAAGATATCCTTTCATCCCAGCCTCAATTTTTTGAAATGATCGAAACAAAAAAAAAATTATTTTTTTTTAATAGCTCTTTATTGGTAAATAATACAATTTGCCACACTTAAGGGCACTGAATACTATAACTGAGTGAGGCTCATCCATACAATATATACAAAAACAAAACAAAAATTTAAAAAAATCAGATAAATAAAAATATATCTATATAACAAGGCGAAAACTATAAAAAACATAACAAGGAAAATGTAACTTCAAGATAACATTAAATGAAATACTTAAATTTATAGATAAATAAAAAATAGAAATGAATAGATAAATAAAAAAATAGATTAAAAAGGAAAACATTCATACTTATTTTTTTGATAAGTATTTGACGATTTTGAATCTCTGTGTTACATTTTAGTATGCATATCATGAGGAATAAGGAACTCCTAATACAAAAAGTTATTCCTTGAATAATAAATATTGTCTATGAAACTTAACCTATCTTTTTTTTTACTTGAACCTACTACAAAATAATCTTTTAAGCCCTCTCATGTTTTCTTTCTACAAATCTGATATCCCAGTGAGAATCCTTGTCCTTATAAACTGCAATCAATTGTATGTCAAAACAGCTTCTTTGATCTCGAAAACTGGTTCAACAAATAGAAAATTTAAATAAACGAGAGCATATCTAGGCCTCATTTTTTATTTTTTTTTTTTGCTAGATGTTTCATGGTTAAAACAATTGAAAAAAAAAACAGTTTCTTCATAAAATTATGTTAATATATCGTGGATTATACTTAGAGAGAAAACTCACTTAGAGCATAAATACAAACATATGAAATGAACAGACGATACAAATAACTGTCACATAACTCTTGGGCGACAAATCTCCGCTTATTTGGAGGAACGGAGCAGAACTTCGAGATTCCGCAAAACACGTCTACATAAACAAGATAAAAACTACTTAATTCCAAAATTGTAGAAAATTTCTAAATACACACCATCATATCATATGCAAGGACATGCTCATACTAACTGTGAAATCCTACATACATGAATGAAGTACGCCACAACTCATACTTTAATACTTATTTGACCTAACCCATGCGTTTTGTCTCTTCCTATCTCTTACACGGTGACCCTGTAATATAACCAAAAAGGTAGTTCCTCGGAGGTCTCCTACAAACTCGTGACCCTGTATAAGAAAACATGACAATTTTTAACAAAACGAAGAGAAAAAGTTAAGTCATAAATCAGTTCCACTCGCAGTAAATGCAGAGAAGAAGTAGTCAATACGTGAGTAAGAACAGATCATACCAGTCTTACGCATCTTCACTTAATTACAAAAGGAAACCCGTCCATTTGTCAGAAGTGTGGAAGAATGACAGTGGCCCATATTATCGAGAGTTGTATCTTTTACATCAGAGAATTAAACAATACATCGGCTGCTTTGGGAAATGATGAACAAATCAGAAGAAAATCATTTGTTTTCTCTCTGAAGAAGGAATCTTTAAAAATCTCTGAACCTCTCACGCAGCACTCCTCACCTATTTTTTGTTTTTTCGTTTACTTATTTATTTATTTATTTTTTTTACTCAACGTGCTAACTTTAAATAACAAAAGTTTTATAACCGTAAACAACTTTAACCTTAACGTGCATTTTACGTCTTTTTAATTTTGATTTTATTCTTATTATTCACAACCAGAAGATACAATAATATATAATTTTAATTAACGACCTTGATGACCAACAGGTTTTACGCCTTTACTACACAACAAACAAACAACGAAGAGAAAAAAAAATCACCCTTGCTTGTGTTGCAACCGTAAAAACATCCCAGGTTCGATCCTAGGATCAAGAGACCTTTCTGCTGCCCTTAATTAAATTATTATTTATGAAGAAAAGCCTGCACATCAGCGTGATTTCGGCCCGATTATCTCCCGGCACAACCGCTATCCTAAAACCTCCAGTGGTACTATTATTTATTTATATACGTATACATATAATGTTTCTCATCGGGGCTTGGTAAATATTTAATTATTACGGTTTGGCCTGATTGATACTAGTTTAAGTTGATTTATAACAACATACCTCAAGAAAGTTTTAGATTTGATTCAGCATTGAGACAAAGAAAGAATTAATTTTTTTTTTTAAAGTGAATACATTGATAAGAAACGGATGGAACTTTCTCCGGACCAGATGATTACCGAATAAATTCATAAAACAGCCATTACAATTGGAAATTGGTTTGGTAAATTTGATCCGAGGGTCCGTTGCTTTCTTCTCATTACTAAGACTCATTCTCAGGCGATTATTTAACTTTCGAAACAGGGCTAATAAGGAGGAAGGCGATGCATAATGAGAGACACAATCAACTTGAAGACGACGGCCAAAGTTGGAAGGAGGAAGACGGAGATGGTCCTGGAGCCGTGGAGGACCCCATTTGGTAGGGATGACTCGGCGATGTACAGGATATGAAGAAGCTGATTTGTGAGTGGCTGCGGGGTCTGACCCCGTCTTTCACAACGATGGCGTTTCTCTCCTGTCTAGGGGGAAAGTGGGCGTATTTAGCTTCAGACTTGGGACAGCTAAGGGCCAATCAGTATGTATAACTGCCAAATCTATAGGCACACAGTATAGAATGTATGGAGTATGTATATTAATCATTATAGAGAAATAAAGCTGTGCACGGAAGTTCAGTGCTCCTATCCTCAAAGACCTGGTTCGATTCCCGCTGAGGCAGATTATTATTTATGCTGGTTGGTAAGTTAGTTGGAGATTGCAGTCATCGAGAAACACAAATAAAAATAAAGATTCTTTATTTTATAAATTCCAATAAATCCCATAAAATTACCTTTACCCTGCGTCGCAAACCTGTCCTATAGTATCCTTTAATAATTCCCCACTTATCCCAATTAAACAAATCCGTTACCTAGGACTCCACCTGGACAAACGACTCACATGGAATCCTCATACATGACTGAAATGACAAGAAACAGCTCGACGTTTCCGACTACTCCAACACTTACTAGACAAACGCTTTAAGCTTTCAATCAATTACAAACGACTCATATATGTGACAATAATATGATCTATTTGGACTTACGGAATTGAGCTTTGGGGCTTCACTAAACCATTGAATTTCTCTAATTACAATCCTAAATCCTTCGTAAAATCCTCAACGCTGCTTACTTTGTCACAAATAAAATCATACATAAAGACCTCAATGTTCCATATGTTTCCGGTTTGGCCCAATCCAGATACCTATCCTTCCATAACAAACTCCAGAACCATCCGAACCCTCTTGTTTCAAACCTTGCTTCCTCCTTGATCCCTGATAACCCTACGAGGCGTCTGAAAAGAAGATGGCCTAGTGAACTACTGATGTAAATATATTATTAGAGTGCTACCAATGGGTAGTTTCTCAACAAGCGTTTTCATGTGATTGTATTATTACTGTGTGCACATTTACTAGTTGTATTTTTTTATAATACAGTTGTAAATACCAATGAATAAAAAAAAAAAAATTGAAGTTTCAATAACAGTCAAGTTACAGATATTCGTCATGGCTGAGGAAAGACGAAATAATTAAACAACTATTGTAATAACTAAACAAATTCTAATTAATAAATATTTTCTAAAAAAAATACAGCTGTGTATATATGTTTTTGTTGTTCAAAGGAAATTTCGTTAACGTTTTAATAACCATACAACATTTACAGTGTATTATTTGAAAACCTCTTTAGATTATTATACCACACTTCATAGCATTTTTACAGCTTTTTTTAGGTGAAGTGTGGTATATAGACACATTTAAAGAGCTTAGAGGAGAAGACTTTAGCCATGCTTCATTGAAATCAATACATTCGTGTAGGAACTGCAATCTATACCAACACAGGACACCATTTTGAAAGAAAGGGGCGGATGGTAATTCCGAGGTAAGAGAACAAAAAAAAACAAAAAAAAAACAGTAGACACATTTTTTTATTCGGTTTTCGAGTTTATGAGTATCATGAAACATAAACCCTAATATTTTGAAGTGAAGTAATTTTTTTTTATTTCTTTGGTCGATTACATTGGTTCATTATTGAAAAAAATATAAGAAATAATAATTGATTCCCCATCTCTATATATTATTCTTTCCTTATCCTCCCATTCCAACCAATCCCCTATTCCTATTCCTTGCCCTTCTCTTTGTGAAATAGCACTATCCAGGACCTGATCCTTAGGATAACCGGAGGAGGAGGAAACTCGATCGCGGACTACTTTCTCCCGGGCACCCACACCCAGCTCCACCGCACTCCCCTGCATTTTTATCTCCGTCTAATTTCTCTACGCTCCATTAATAAGGTATAGGCTCCGATCTCGCTCAGTTTCTTCTAATTGACACATTCTGTCCGAATTGGTTTTCTCCGCTATAAGATCCTGTCCGGGTCTTGCGGTCTCCAGGGATAGAGGAATGGGAGGTCGTAGCTGGCGAGAACCGAACCTGAAACTCGAGATTGACGAGAGAATTGTCGCCAGGGCACTTATAAGTACGAACTTTCCAAATAGAGAAGAAAAGAAAAACTGCAAATGATTACACAATTATTTCGAAGTGGATGAAATATGTGTGGAGTTTGTCAATCCACACTCATTTTCGTTAAAAGATATAGTCAATTAAATTATTCTTTAACTGGATATTTTAAATGTAGATGTGTAATTTTAGACTAATTAATAAAAGAGATAGAGACTGAATTAAAGAGTATTTGTCTATATTTAAATAATAATGTATACAGTCTACCTAATATGCATAACTAAAAAAATGTTTAAATATCAATTTATTACAGAATTTATCTAATTTCAAATTAATAACTACAGTTATAAAAGTTTCAAGGGAATTACAGTTTATATATGACAAAGATGGAAAGATGGACGGTAAAGAAACTTGTTTTTCCATTATGTTTACCAAGTAAACTTTCCCAGAGGGCAACCCGCCGTATCCTCCAGATAAGATTAACACGATTCACAAGTAACAGTAGACAGTTTTCCTCTGTTCTCGCTTCTCCAAGGACACAGGAAAACATCCTTTATACGATGATACAATCAATAAACATATATATGCTAGATAAAATTAAATATTCTATTTGAGCATGCTATTACCTTTTTTATTTACTTATTTATAATAATCTACAACTATATTAACTAAAAATATAACAAGTAAATGTATATTGGTTATATGACATGAACAGAGCACTCCATTAGAAGGCCATCTTTGTTTTAGACGCCTAGTTTCAGGAATTGAAGAGAATGCAAGTTTAGAAATTTGTGAGTTTAGATGAGCCTGAATTTTATTATGGAAAGATAGGTATCTGTATTAGGTTAAAATGGCAACGTATGTAACATTGAGATCATTATGTATAATCTTATTTGTGACTAAGTAAGGAGTATTAAGGATTTTGGGAGGTTCTATACGAGAGGAATTTGATGGTTTAGTGAATCTTCAAGCATCGTTATCAGCTTAACTTTATAAAATAAAAAACATTTGGTGTTAAGTCATCCATTAGAAACGAAACGTATTAATTTTAAAAGACAGCACCAGCACAGCCAAAGCTAGGCTTTCAATTAATTACAACAGACTGATATATATATATATATATATATATATATATATATATATATATATATATATATATATATATGTACTACAATAAGCCCTATTTGTACTTACGGAATTAAACATTGGGGCTACACTAATCCAAAGAATTCCTCTCGTAATCAATCCAAAATCCTCAATTCTCCTTACTTTGTCAAAAAGGAAATCATCCATAACGACCTTATTAACGTACGATTTGGCCCAATCCTGATATCTATCTTTCAGTAACAAACTTCAAAACCATCCGAATCCTCTCGTTTCAAACATTTGCTTCCTCCTCGATCTCTGATAGCCATCCAAGACGTCTGAAAAGATGATGACCTCGCGATCTTATGTAAATATATTATTAGTGTGACACCAGTATGTTGTTTCTCAACAAGCATTTTCATGTTATTATCTTCCTGTGTACAAATTTACCAGATGAATTTTATTTTGATCCAGTAGTAAATATCAAGAATAAAAAAATAATAATAACCAAAAATAAAATACAGCAAAAACTAAGAAATACATAAAATAATATATGAATTTCACCAATAAAATGCAACAAGATCAGCAGATGACAAAGTAAATTAAAGTTGAATAGAAATAACAAAAAAAAAAATATACATATATTATAATAAGGCTTAGAAAATATTGATGGGATAAAAATTGGTAAGGTAATTTGGAATATAGTCCTCCGCATATTATGGCAAAAATAACATATTGTACATCGGCATGTAATCTGTCTGTATTTTTTTGTTTGTTGTTTTAGGTATATAGGTAATCTTTTAATTTAATTTTAAAACATAGTTTAATTTAAATATTTTCAAAAAATGCGTATTTATTGTTTTTATTGTTTTATGTATGTATATTGTTGACAATTTTAGATTTTATATTAATTTGATAATTGGAACTACTTAAACTGTCTGATCTTTACCGAATATGATTTTTAATTTATGCTTAAGAGTGTTGTAATATCTGTTATGTAGTATAAAAAGGAATTTGTATTTCCATAAGAATAATAATGTCTGTTATTTTGTGATAGGCTCCATTTGTATAGAGTTCTTCCCTTAAAACAAATAAAGATTCATTGATTGATTGATAATAAGGCTTAGCGAACCCGAAGGTTCGATGACGATACCACCAATATATGTATATATATATATATATATATATATATATATATATATATATATATATATATATATATATATAAGTCACCTAAAATTCATTCATACTTACCTATATCAGGTAAGTACCTATATGACTCTGACCCCCGAACTTCAGAAGATCTCAGTCCTATTCTACCAGCTTGTCCTGAAATTATTTCATTGAAGTTCTTGGTATTCCAACCAAATTCTAATCTAGAAAATGGAAACTAATATATCCATAGTAAACATAAGATACACCGATATGCTTTCTCCATGTTAGGCAGTTGAGAAAAATAATATGAAGTCAAAGCCAATCTAAAAATTTCAAATATATATCCGAAAAAAATAAAAAATTTCAAAGGATGATTATACCCAGAGCAACTACGAGATTTTATATAAACAGAATGACCATCTCGGTAAATAAACATACTAATCAAAACGAAATCGTGCGTCGTTTCCTTCTCAGACGGTAATTATTTCCCTCAAGATCAGGCAACCATGCATATCTGATATGGGAACGTGTCTCCCGAAACGGAAGAGGACAGGAAATGGGACCAGGGCGGGAGCCAGGACTCGTGGAAATGTTTGGAACTGGGAATAATGAGAAGAGAGTCCTGTCCTCTGAAATATTTTTGGTAATTGTAATTGTATGCTGATTGCGCCGGGGCCTGTGTACACATCCTTTGTGTGCTCAGGCTCTTCGTAACGACAATTATCATTACGAATAACAGTTATTCTAATCTAATATTAATAACAGTTATAATAATCTAATAAGGATATGCAAGACAAAAACATGCTATAAAGTTTTATTTATCCAAGAAGCTTGAGTTTCGTTCGGGGTGTTGTTACTTTACAACATGTCGATACAATCGCTAACAACGAATACGAAAATACGAACAATTTTCAATCCTGCACTCTAGCGATTGTAATTGTAATCAAATATGTTTAAAGAGCAAATACAAAATCTTCAAATATCCACAATAGAGGATATTAGTCTGGAAATCAAAACATGTTCGTTGTTTAGGCTGAATTGATAATGATATTAGAGTGGTGATTTTCTATACCCGATTTGAGAGAACACACGGGTATATTTATGATATGGTACTATCAAGAGACGGAAACTATGTAATAGGAAGTTAAGAACAGGATTAAAAATAAAAAAAAAATGAGGAGTTTATATTATTATAAAAATTATGAGTGTTAATTAATATAATCAATATATTTATTGTAAAACGAACAATGAAATATTATAATAATTCATATATTACTTCTTTTGCGTATAGGTGAATTTGAAAATACGTTGACAAAGCAATTGAATATATTATATTTATTTTTTTGTTTGGATTTTTGAACCAGTGAGATGAACTCTCAATTATTCGATGTTTCAAATTTGCCACGGAAAATGTGATAAAATCTTAACGTAAAAATGGACGGGAACAAATGAATAAATCATAATATCCTAGAATATGTTGCTACATATATATGTAGCATATATTTATGTATAGAAACATAAATTTCAATAATTAGAACATAATGCACCTATCCTATCAATCTCGTCGATTCCCAATTGATTTTAAATTACATATCTTATTCATTCATAGATTTATCTTATCATAGATTTATTCATTCATAGATGAATTGTTATCGATATGATTTTTTTTATATTTTTGTTCTTCAAAATATTGGAGGGACGAAACTTCCCTTCCCACCGAAGTTTGCGCCTATGGCTTGTATTGTCATAAGATTTTTAACATGCAGCACACAACATTTTTAACTGATCTGTTGTAAAAAATAAAAATAAATACTACGGTGTATCTTTAATACTAGACGATAGTAGTGAAAACATCAACAAGGCGGGATTGATAATACGAAATAAAATTATTTTTGTTTTATATTCACAAACTAATAATATTTACCATATATACAATTATAATAGTGTTTAGACTATTTTGTAATATATTCACAAAGTAATATCATTTACAATATATACAATTATAATAGTGTATAAATTACTGTAGTAAGCTTTGCTCTGACTGATCGTCACTTGTATCATACTCTAAAAATAAACCAATAAGTTTATGTTAACTAAAATATGAGATGAATACTTTTGATTGAAATCTATTTGGTAAATATTTAATAAAAACTCCGCCAATCATTGTTCCATATTTTGTTGTGTTTTTATTAGGATCATTCGCCATATCCAAATATAATGTTGATTTCAAAAAATCAACATAAGGCTTCGATGTGTCTTTTGGAAAAAGAACACTCAAAATCATTGGTAATGAGATATTTCAGTACAAATGTTCAAAACAGTCGTTAGGGTGAAATGTTGAAAATTCCCCTCACTTATAGTATGTAGGTCCGATTCTTTAAATAGGCGCGCCTAAAGAGGCTTAAAAAAAAAAAGAAAAAGGCTGTCCATCGCTGACTAAACCTGTCAATACATATAATTAAGAAGAAGACTTTAACCACTTAGACAAATTTCCTTCGCCATAGTGTGGCTGCAAACAATGCGTAAGTTAAACTATTTCCAAGGACCGGAAAGT